CTTAGGAAAGGAATAGGAAGTAGCCACAGGAAGAGGTTTTGAACACCAAGACGTAAAGTCTGTGTCTGCGGCTGAGCTGATTATGTACGGCTGGGGTGCACATACCTGAATGAGATGAGCTCAGCACTTTGCTACTCAGTCCACCGGTAAGAAGTGTCCTGAAATTCCCTAGACTTTATGGTGGACAGCTGTAATGGGCAGCTATGTACATTGAGGCCATTTTAGATGTGTAGGCATGACGGAATGCTTATGTCCTATTTTTATGGTTATTGCAACCTGGTGTTTCAGGTAGGGTTGCCAACTCTGAGTTAGGAAGTTCCTGGAGATCTGGGGGGTGGAGCCGGCTGGAGAAGGTGGGTTTGGGGAGGGGGATCCACCCTCCAAAGCAGCCATTTTCTCCAGGGTGGCTGATCTCTGTCATCTGGAAATCATTTGTAATTCCGGGAGGTTTCCAGGCCTCACTGGGAGGTTGGCAACCCTAGTTCCAGGTCCCTTGGCTCATACCCCCAAGAAGCAGCAAGCTGGCACCAGGAAACCCGCTGGTGAGCCCCACATTGGGGACCTCTAGAGGGAAGCTGCCCTAACCGCCAGAGCAGATTACTGTAACAGGTGCTGCGGAGGGATGCTTTTGAAGATGACCTGTAAGATTCAACCAATGCAAAATGCATCACTGGGTTTTTCTCAGGAGCTAGACAGCTAGACCATATGCCACCTGTGCTTCAACGTCTGCATTGGTTGCCTACTTACATCAGAGTCCACTTCAAGATGCTGGTTCTTACCTTCCATGGCCAGGGACCCTTATACGTAATAAACCACATCTCCTGATGGACTCCAACCTGAACAGGCTTCCTTGGGCTCTCCTTCTTTGGAGGTTTTCAGACAGAGGCTAGATGGCCATCTGACAGCAATACTGGTCCTGTGAACTCAGGCAGATCATTAGAGGGACGGCAGGAAGCGTTGCATCAGTGCTTTGTTCTTGTGGCCCTTTCTTACACGCACAGGGAAAAGAGGAAGCAATTTTTCTCCAGGCCACTTTGGCCTGGGATCCTGGAGGTTTTTTGTCATCTTCTGGGAATGGAACAGGGGTCACTGGGGGTGTGGAGAGGGAGGTATTTGTGAATTTCCTGCATTGTGCAGGGTGTTGGTCAGCTGACCCTGGAGGTCCCTTCCAACTCTATGATTCTATCCATTGCATTCCTTGAATGACCTCTTTGCTGTCCTCTTGCTTAGATCAGTCCACTCATCCTCAGCCAAAGGAAGGGCATTTTCACGAGTGCATTCATTGTGACGGAATGGCCTGCTTCCTTTTTTGGGCTTCCTGTTTTCCATAAGGAGGGAGGTGGAATGGTACAGTAAAGCCTGAACCCATCAGATTTCAGACTCTAAGCTGGGTCGGTACTTGATGGGAGATGACCAAGGAAGACGTTGCAGAGGAAGGCCACAGCCAACCACCTTCTGCTTGCCTTGAAAACCCTATGGGGTCACTTGAGGGCACTTGACAGAGAAGCATTTCTCACAGGGCATGTAAAAATGGCCTTTTCCAGAGATCTTAGTTTGGAGGTTAATGGTGCTAGATTTTGTGGGCAGAAAGCTGTAATTTGCTTATTTCATTTATACTCCACCTTCCTCCCCAGTGGAGACCTAAAACCACTTGTGTAATTCTCTCTTCCATTTTATCCCCATAAGAACTCTGTGAGACAGGTTAGAGCAGGGGTGTCGAACTCATTTGTTATGAGGGCCGAATCTGACATAAATGAGACCTCGTCGGGCCAGGCCATGTGTCCCATAAAATGTAATGCCAGGTAGCGGAGATATAACCTTTATAAAGGACACAAACACAAAGGGTGTTTTTACTTAAAATAAAAACATGCTTAAAACTTTAGCACTCTTGCAACATTTTGTTTATTTAACAGCAGGGGTAATTTCCTGCGGGAGTGCACAGGAGCAAGCCCCGCCCCCTGCTCCCAGCAGCCCTCAGTTGGGCCACAAGGAGCAAGAAGCAGCCAGGTAAGTTGCAGAGCCCCCTCCCCCCGGCCCGCCTTCAGGTACAAGCTCTCCCTCCTCTGTGAGGGCAGATCTGCGTGTGTCCCCCCCCATAGCCAGCAATCCAAAACAGTCCAGAGGAGCCTGAGCGGTGGGTGTTGCCTTCTGACACACTTCCGGTGATGTCAGGGGGTGTGGCATATGCAAATAAGTTATGCTAATGAGGTATGCTAATGAGCTCCTGCACCTCTTTTTCTACGAAATGACCCCTGTTTAACAGTGTCTGATAACTGACATCTCTTGCTCTGAATTACTGCATCAAAATCTGTAAGTTACGATGACATAGCAGCAGCATGCTGGAAGAAGAAGCAGAAGGCAGCCTGTTCCACTGCAGGCCTGATAGAAGCCCTCCGGGGGCCTGATGATCCATCCCCCAGGCCGCATATTTGACACCCCTGGGTTAGACTCAGTGCGTGTGACTGGCCTGAGGTCACCCAGCAAGCTTCCATGGCAGACTGTGGATCTGAACCCAGGTCTCCCAGATCCTAGTGCGGCACTCTAACCTGCACTCTGGGTACCCGTCTCTCTTTAGGCCGTTTGAGTTATGCCATATGTATTGGCCGAATGTTGACGTTGGTTTTATAGTTACTGCCAAGGGTAACTAAAAAGGCTGAGACAAAAACTATAATAAAATATGGCTAAGCATAGGAAATATTAAAATCACAATAAAGACCACGTATCTATGGTTCTGTATATAAGTTCCTATACCTGGTATCAGGACAAATGTCAGAATATATACATACAGGTTAATAGGTACAAAATGTATCCAAATACAGGAGCCAAATGTGTTTAGGCTAAAAAGCCTTCCTCCTTGGTGAAATACAAGCTGAGCACTCCATAAGAACATAAAAGAAGCCAATGTGCTAATGAGCTCCTGCACCTCTTTTTCTACGAAATGACCCCTGTTTAACAGTGTCTGATAACTGACACCTCTTGCTTTGAATTACTGCATCAAAATCTGTAAGTTACGATGACGCAGCTATGCTGGAAGAAGAAGCAGAAGACAGCCTGTTCCACTGCAGGCCTGATAGAAGCCCTCTTGGGGCCTGATCCATCCCCCAGGCCTCTGCGGAGACGGCGTGCCCTCAGGAGGAAGTGAGGAGACCGGCAAAGCAGCAACATGTCTGAGTTCCAGCAGTTGACGGAAAGCACCATCCCCTGCGCCAGGGAGGTCCTGCGGGACAACTACAAGAACCTGCTGAAAGTGGTGGATTACTGCGACAGCAACTACGAGGGGGTGAGTCGCAGCGTGAAAGGTTCCGTGTAGACACTTCTGGGTGATGTCATTGTGCTGGGGATGTTGTTGTACGCAATGTCCTGCCAACCCTGGAATGCCCCCCCAATCCCCCCGCCACGACCGCAAGGGGACCTGGCAACCCTAAGTTAAACATCAATATATTTCAAAGTCATCCTGTACAGAATGGACCTAAAAACCAACCATTATCAAATACAGTGCAGACCTTACTCACACAGAGATGTCCACCCGTGGAGTAAATGGGAATAAATTTTCTTAAAATGCAACATGGGCCACTTATCCAAGTGTGTTTTAATTAATACATCTGTGGATCTGTTTAGGCCCAGTCTGCAATATTCGAAATCCAAATAGAGTGCTCAGCTACAATGTAAAAAGAAGCAGCCTATTATAGCTACTGCAACCTGGCGTTGCGTTCGTAAGTGGCCTTGAATCTTCCAGTGAAGATCCACACCTTAAAAAGGATATTATAGCTTTGGAAAAAGTGCAGAAAAGGGCAACTCGAATGATAAAAGAGTTGGAACACTTTCCCTATGAGGAAAGGTTAAAGCGCTTAGGGCTCTTTAGCTTGGAGAAATGACGACTGAGGGGTGACATGATTGAGGTTTACAAGATTATGCATGGGAAAGAGCAGGTAGAGAAAGAGGTACTTTTCTCCCTTTCTCACAATACAAGAACTCGTGGGCACTCAATGAAATTGCTGAGCAGTCGGGTTAGAACAGATAGAAGGAAGTACTTCTTCACCCAAAGAGTGATTAACACTTGGAATTCACTGCCACAGGAAGTGGTGGCGGCTACAAGCATGGACGGCTTCAAAAGGGAATTAGATAAGCATATGGAGCAGAGGTCCAGCAGTGGCTATTAGCCACAAGGTATAGATAGGGACTCTGGGGCAAGTGATGCTCTGTCTTCTTGGTGCTTGGGGGGGGGGTCAACAGTGGGAGGGCTTCTAATGTCCTGGCCCCACTGGTGGACCTCCTGATGGCACTGGTATTTCTGGCCACTGTGTGATACAGAGTGTTGGGCTGGATGGGCCTTTGGCCTGATCCAACCTTGGCGTCTCTTATGTTCTTATGTTCGAAGAAAGGTGTGTCCGTTTAAAGTGCCATCAAGGCACAGCTGACATGGTGCACCTGTAGGGTTTTCAAGGCAAGAGACTTACAAAAGTGGTTTTGCCATGGCCTGCCTCTGCCTCGTGACCCTGGACTTCCTTGGTGTTTTCCCATCCAAATACTTACTCAAGCTCTTGTTTGCCTCATGCTCAGCACCTCCCCCATGGTGGCTGTGACTACAAGACGCACGCGCCTCAATGTGATATGTCGGCATAACCTCAGCTATTCCCACACCGAAGCCACAGCCCCTTGTGAAGCTATACGAGACATCTGCCTAGCTTGCCGAGTTGTGGAAACCAGTTATTGCTCTCTCAACTCCCGCTAGCAAGATCTGTGATCGGTAAAGCCTGCCTGACTCTAAAAATACTGGTTTCCTCTCTAGACGGTTCCTTCCCCGCCCCAACATTTCCTCTGTTCAATCTCATCCCTTTTGTCCTCATGGAGCCAGGCATTTTCCGCATCTCACGCATAGAATGCAGGTGCTCACGCTCTCAGAGTCCAAGGGACGTCGAGGAGTTCTTGGGCAGGCTGAGGACAGCAACCCATCTCTGCAAGATGTTTTCTGGGCAAGCCTAAGGGGAGGGAGCAGCCCATGTATGGAAGGCAATTGAGCATAAGACAGTCCCCACACGGCCCACGTGTGTGCTTGTGTTGCAGAGAGCCGTGGGGTTCAGAACCACTCTGCGGAGACGGCGTGCCCTCAGGAGGAAGTGAGGAGACCGGCAAAGCAGCAACATGTCTGAGTTCCAGCAGTTGACGGAAAGCACCATCCCCTGCGCCAGGGAGGTCCTGCGGGACAACTACAAGAACCTGCTGAAAGTGGCGGATTACTGCGACAGCAACTACGAGGGGGTGAGTCGCAACGTGAAAGGTTCCGTGTAGACACGCTAGGCAGCCTTCCTAGGATAGCAAAAGTTCCGTGTGGGACCCAGGTGCTGGAAGCCAAGCAAAAAGCCAGGCTTGTTATTTATGAGATACTTATACCACGCCTTTCCTTCTGGTGAGGATCCAAAGTGGTTTACAACATCGTTCTCTCCTCCTCCATCTTATCCTCACAGAACAACCACCCTGTGAGGTAGGCAAGGCTGAGAGAGAGGGGCTGGCCTAAGGTCACCCAGCATGCTTCCATGGCAGAGTGCAGATTTGAACCTGGATGTCCCAGATCCTAGTTTGACAGTCTACCCCCTGTACCACTCTTTCTTTCTTTCTTTCTTTCTTTCTTTCTTTCTTTCTTTCTTTCTTTCTTTCTTTCTTTCTTTCTCATATGCTGCCTTTCTGCCCAATGAGGGCAAAACCACACTCATGGCATAATTTGCTTTCAATGCCAATGGCAAGTGGCACCGAAATCTTCTGCAGAGTTTCCAGGGGATTTTAAGGCTCATCCTCTCTTCAAACGGGGAGCTGGCCATTGGAAGAATTCGATGCTTGCTTGTTCCTTCTACAAACCAAGTCTGCACTCCAGGAGTGACTGTGCAGTGAGTTCCAAAATACACACTCAGTTCTCGTGGGGCTGCCATCACTGGGATCCACCTGGGAAGGTTATGCGTCCTTCATCATGGAACCACAGGAGTCTTGTAGCGCTTTAAAGACTAATAACGTTCCTCCAGTTTTCTTGGAATGCAACCTACTTCTTCAGATGCTTTGGAACAACGGCTGATTCTGCATTGGTGTTTCCCTCCATTGTTTTAGCAAACCCATGTTGGAACAGAAATTCCCCTCTGCCTTGCAAGCTGCTTTCACTTCCTTTGTTCACTGGATTTTATGGTAGCCTCCACACGCCATGCTGCTTTTGCTTCCTTTGATCATCGGATGTTATGGTACCTCCTGCATAGATTTATGGCCATTTTATGGCTGTTCAGGGGTGACTTTGCAGTCAGTAGGGGGTATTTGAATGTGGTTTTGAGCTGCACTTTTTCCTCCCAGTTGAGAAAATGTGGAGCGAATGCTAGATGCAGAATCGCCCAAGCATGGACGTTAACGCTGGAAAAAAGTGTTGCTAGTTTTTCATAAGGTGCCCCAAGACTCCTGTTTGTTTTTTCAGTGAGAAATACGGCTACCCCTCTGGATTTATTATTGTGGAGTCAGATGGTACCTAAAGGGCACCTAACCCATCTCGGCCTGCCCCTTCCATGAGAGGCAGACCTCTGCGTCACATACTCAGGGGCTTCTGAGTTTTGGACAGAAGCATCACGAACAATACTTGCATTTCAGAGTGTTTCACTTGACTCTTAACAACCTCCCCCCCCCCCAGTGTGTATATTTCTGCTGACCGGACTTTCACTTCGTGCTTAAGCTTGCCTTCAAGAAATGTGTGAGCCTTTCAGGCGCCACAAGATTCTGTTTCCTCCAGAAAACAGGTGCAACTGTAGAAAGTTCCCGACTGCACAGACTGTGCCAGATGGTTTGGGCAAATGCGCCAAGATGCATGCTTTGAAGAAGGAGGCAAAAAAACCCCTTCACAGACTAATCAGATGCAGGGAAACGGTCTTTTCCCTGCTCCCAGTAGTGTGATAGGTCAGATCATGTGCATCGGCCAAATTGCTACAAGGAATATACTTTATTCCCTGGCAATATTTAGTTGCTAGTTGGAACACTGCCCAGGGTCCAGGCTTGGCCTGAGGGCACCTCCCCCTGGAATGTAAACAGAAAGAAGCATCAGCAAATGAAAACATCCGTCCACACTTAGGAATGGGAAAGGGACAGTTGTCACCGTTAAGGACAGATGAGTGTGTGGGTGGCGCTGGACTGATAACATTCCAACATGCATGCAAGCATTCATCTCCCTTTTGTTCGTTTTATACCCCATTTCCCCCTCCAGCGAGGATCCAAAGTGGCTCACAACATCATTCCCCTTTCCTCTGTTTTATCCTCACTGTGAGGTAGCTTAGGCTGAGAGAGAGAGAGACTGGCCCAAGGTCACCCTGCAAGCTTCCAGAGCAGAGTGTGGATTCGAATCTGGGTCTCCCAGATCTTAATCAATCACTGTAAGCACTACACCTTGCACACAGGCTGTTTTGCAGGGAGTGGCTCAAGACTGAAGTGTAAGCTGCATTCCAGTCGGATACTCCCTATGAGGACTGCAGGTCTGCACAAAATATTCACTGTGTTTTTGATATCACACTGTAAACAAAGGTCAGGTCCATAGCAGATGAAGGTCTGCTCCCCTAGGTAAGGATGGGAAAGAAGTTGCATGTCATACTTGAGGGGTAGCCACTGAAAACACCTCTGTATTAGGGGTGTGTGTTTTTACAGTTTGACTCCAAAACAGTGCCTGAAAGTGTTTGGACAGTTTGACTCCAAAACAGTGCCTGAAATTTCCTGTTTAGCTTTGGATGGGAAATACCCGAAACAAAACTAACCAGAATTTCGGCCACCATTTCGGATCAGAAATATCGCAGTGCACATCCCTGCTCTGTATAACCTGTTGCTGTTGTGATTTGTCACATGGTTCTCAGACTTTTAATAACAACCCCCCCCCCCCAATCCTTTAGGCACAAGACAAGCGGAAAGCCTTAGAGGAAACCATGGCCTTCGCGACTCAGTCTTTAGCCAGCGTGGCCTACCAAATCAGCACCCTGGCCAATGACATCCTCAGGATACTGGACTTGCAGGCCACTGAAGTGCGGCAGGTGGAGGCCAGCATCTGCTCTGTCACACAGGTGAGCAAGGAGTGGACTGCAGGAAAGGCGTAGAAGAGATGTGTGTGTACGGTGGGTTAGGGCTTCTCTTTGGGCAGGGCCATGCCCTAATACTAGGATTGCCAGGTACTCTCTGGCCACCGGAGGGCAATGGGGGGGGGTAGGATGGCCAGATCCAGGTTGGGAAACTCCTGGAGATTTGGGGGTAGAGCCTGGGGAGGACAGGGACCTCAGTGGGGTACAGTGCCATAAATTCCACCTTCCAAAGCATCCACTTTCTGCAGGGGAACTGATCTCTGTAGTCTGGAGATGAGGTGTAATTCTAGGGGATCCTCAGGTCCCACCTGGAGGCTGGCATCCCTACCTAAAACCATTTTCCTATTGCTAAGCTTAACAGCACGTGACATATTCTGTGCTACTCTGCTGCTGTGTGACGTGTGACAGGTTGAATCCTGCTGCCCAAGGGATAAGGCAAAGATATATATTTGTAAAACGTTACAAAGTTTGAGCCCTGTGGCCCTCTTAAGACCAATGAAGTTTTATTCAAAGGTATAAACTTTCGTGTCCAAGCACACACTTCCTCAGATACAGTGAAACAGAATTCCCTCAACCATTACATATAGAAGGAGGGAGGGGTTAGTTGCCAGGAAGGGCCAATTAGAGTCAAGAGAGAGAGAGAACCTTGAATCTGTTAAACATCTTCATTATGCTGTATGATAATTTACTGCTCACCCTCTACCTATATGTATGGACTGGTAATTTCCAATTTGTTTCTGTCTCTGTCTTGACTCTAATTGGCCCTTCCCGGCGACTAACCCCTCCCACCCTCTCTCTTCCTATATCTAATGGTTGAGGAAATTCTGTTTCATTGTACCTAAACAAGCGTGCTTACACACGAAAGTTTATACTTCGAATAAAACTTTGTTGCTCTTAAAAGTGCCACTGGACTCAAACTTTGTTCTACGGCTTCAGACCAATATGGCTGGCCACCTGGATGTAAAATGTGGCATCACTGGTGTGGGGCCATAGCCCAGCGAATCATTTGCAGAGTCCCAGTTTCCATCTTCGGCATCTCCAGTGAAAAATGTCCAGAGGCGCACTTTCCAAAACCCACACATGCAGCTGCTGAAGTGGTTGCATATTTATTTATTTATTTCCTTCCTTTATGTGTAACTGGCCCAAGATCACTCAACAGGCTTTCATAGCACAGTGGGGATTTGAATCTCCCAGGTCCTAGTCGGACACTCTAACTCTACACTCTACCTGCTCATATGAAGTTCCCTTCTACAGACTTAGACGCTGGGACCAACTAGCTTAGAGCGAGATGTTTCCCAACATCTGCCCATTTCATATCATTAAACTGGAACTGCCAGGAATTGGACTGGGCACCAGCTACCTGCAAAGGGAATGTTTTAACATCTACCCACAATTCCCTCCTCCCCCGTGGCTCATGAAAACAAATGCCACAACAAATGTGTTAATTTTTTTAAGTGCCTTCGGGCTCTTTGCTGTTCCAGTTTTCAAAAATGGAACTAGGCTGCAGAACTAGAATATACCACTTTCAGAGTCCTTGGAGAGCTGTTTGCAGGAGTAGCACTTTATCTGTTACATCCACGAGCTACGGCAGCATGCATCACAGGGTCTTTTCATACCAGGATTTGCCGGTTGTTTCCCCCCATGACTGAGGAACCAGAGCTGGCCACTGCATAGCTGGTAATGCAACCAAAGGCCAAACAGTGCTGCTTCTAAGCATCCTTGTGTCCTCTCTTCATCAAAATGAACTGTAGAAGGGTATATTGGGACAGGTATAATGTCCACTTCAGAAAGGCCTCTCAAAAACCATGTCATTCACAGGTAAACATGGTGCTTAATTCCTTGAAAGAGAGCCAGGGCAGAAACCTGCCTGGAAGCCATGCTTGTCTGCTGGGCAAGTCTTGTTCCTCCATCCCAAATGTGTGTTTAGCTAATTTGAATTCATACCTGCTCCAGTCACTTTGAAAGAACAAGGAAGGGCTTGAGAGGGACAATCTAAAGAGGTGCTTTAGACTGAATTAGTATGTTAGTCTGCCTGACCTACTCAGATCTGTCTGCTCCAAGAGCAGCTCTCTAAGATATCACTCAAAGGCAGGGGTCATTTCGTAGAAAAAGAGGTGCAGGAGCTCATCAACATAACATTAGCATAACTTATTTGCATATGCCACACCCCCTGACATCACCAGAAGCGTGTCAGAAGGCAACACCCACCCCTCAGGCTCCACTGGACTGTTTTGGATTGCTAGCTATTGGGGGGGGCATGCAGATCTGTCCTCGCAGAGGAGGGAGAGCTTGTACCTGAATAAAACTTGGTCTTAAAGGTGCCACTGGACTGTTTTGGACTGGGGGGCCAGGGGGAGCTCTGCAACTTACCTGGCTGTTTCTTGCTCTGACTGAGGGCTTCTGGGAGCAGGGGGTGGGGCTTGTTGCATGTGCCCGCCCCCTGGGCTCTTTACTGCCGGAGCTCCGCTCCTGTGCGCTCCTGCAGGGAATGACCCCTGCTCAAAGGTCTTCCTTGTCCCACCAAAGGAAGTTTCCATGGTTGACATGGAAGAAATGTGCACTACATAAATCTCCCTCATGGTTCCCTACATCCACCTCTACTGCAGGTGTTGGGGTCAACTGTGGGACTGGCTTGAACAATGTAGATCAGTGACCCCCAAGAACAGTGGTCGTGGGTACCACAGTGTCTCTTGATGGGTTTTCTGGTACCCACTCACTTCCCCTCCAAAGTAAATAGCCAATACTGACTTCCTTCCACCTCATTAGATCAGGGCTGCAGTCAGATGGGCAGTTTGGCCTGATATAGTTGCATTACCCTAATGGATTAAATGGGCTCATTCACACATCCACATCTGGCAGCCATTCCCCAGTCGTACTCACCCCATCGTATGACGAGTTGGGTATGGAGTAAATAGCCACCAGAAACAATCAGCTGCTTACAGATCTCTGTGTATTGGTCCCGCATTTCTGGATGTCTCAATGCCCCTGGTGCATGCTCAAACCGGTTCAAAGTGTGAACCTTTAGTTCTGGTTTTGCCGTATTTTGCTTTAAAACGGTAGAACGTTCTCCAAAACCCCATCAAAGTTGGGTTGTTTAAAAAAAAAAAAGACCAGACCACGCACTCCGTGGTTGAAGCGCAGCACTAATCTGAAGGGTCAGCCATGGAAGAAGCACGCGGTGAGGCCGGATCAGGGTGGGAGTCTGATCAAAAACCTCCATCACTGCTTCCGGCCGCCCCGCTTCCGGCCCTCATTCAGCCAGGAGGAGGCAGGAGAAGAGGGAGGGTAAGTTGCTTCCTCCCCGCCTCTCCCCACCCCTGCCTGCCTGGGGCCAGGGAGGGCCTTCGCGGGGCTTCCTCGCACTCCCGCCGGCCTTGCAGGTCCACCGCCGGGCCCCTGATGTCAGGGGGTGTGGCATATGCTAGTGAGTTATGCTAATGAGTTCCCCTAGCTCTTTTTCTATGAAACAACCCCTGATTAGGGGTGTGCCCAAACCATGCCAACCTGCCTGTCTGACTGCAGACCAGGAGATGCTGCAGAAGCACACCTTTGTGCCCACAGGTAGCACCCATTCAGCACTAGTTGCCTCCGCGATAGGAGGATGCTTGGGCTGCAACCTCCCTGTGTGTTCTGATTGCCCCAAGAACCCCGGGACAACCATCTTGTGGTCCTGCCCACTCTCCATACTCCAAATTCCAAACGTGTCCCCAGGGTTACCCTGGAGACCCCTGATGTTGATGGACCATGTGAGCAGCAAAACAATACAGGATTCTTCTGTGATGTCTTGCTCTTGAAGGGCTTTCCTTGTACTTCTGGTTTATTGCCAAAGCCCCAAAGCAGGCACACCCTTGGACTCTGTGAGTCAGTCCAAAGGATTTCTCCTCCATCTCCCCACCCGCCTAAGTGGAATTTAGGGAGGCTCACACCGTGTTCTTGGACATCAGAGCCTTCTTCCTGTTACTGGAGAGATGTGCCTGATTGCTTTTCCTGTTTCCCTGAGAATAATACCCTATTTTTTTAAAAGAATCAGGAAACATCAGTGGAATGGATTAATCACCTCTGCTGTTCCACCAGTTCAGGTCTCTCTGAACACGTCTAAAACCTTATTTTAGCTCTTTTTCATATGCCTGAGGAATGAGGCAGGGAGGCCACATGGAGTAACAGTTTACCCTTGTCACTAATTTGAACATCCTGACATTGTACCCCAGAACATGCCTTGCTAGAACTGTACATTTGCTCATACCCCGCCCCCCCCCTCGCCCCGTGTCTGCAGTGTAGCTGGAAGAATGTGTCCCTCAAGTATGTGCCGAGTAATGCCATTGGTCATTAGTGCTTCTGGTGTCGTTTTGTCCTTCAGATGGTCTCTCTGTGTGGTGTGGGGAGAAATATTTGTTCTTGCCTCGATAGATGAGTTAGCATGTTAAGAAAAGAGCCAAGCCCGAGCCCTCATCTGCCTCTTCACTGCAAATGCAGAATCACACAGTAGATCACTGGTACTTGTGGATACAAGTCCCACATGTGAGTCCACATCCCTCTTGGACTCAATTACCCAGAATTCAATTCAGTATTCCCAACATGGTCTTACCAATGAACAGGCAAGCAGATGTATATGGGAGCCCAAGGCAAACAACCCATACGGCATTCCCTGTTTTTGGTAAAAATGTAAGGAAGTAAGGAATTGCTGGCCTCTGTTTGCCTAAAGGTAGAGCGACCCCTGCCAGCTAGCACTCGGTGGAGTTACTGAGTTCTGGAAGGGGTCCTCCAGAGCAACCCTCCCCCCAGTAGTCCCTGCTGCCGCTCCCAAAATAAGGCCCTCCCTCCTTTGAAGGTCTCTTTTCCATAGGTGGTAGAAATGCACAAGGAGAAAGTGGCCCGCCAACAGATCGGGATGCTTGCCGTTTGCAAGAGATTTCCACACTGCCAGAAAATCATCTATCCAGACCACCTCGAGCCCCTGGAGACGTATTACAGGAAACCGCTGGATTTTAGCAGTTTGGATGACGTTGGACACGGGATAAAGGTAACAGCAGGGATGGCTGCATCCCGGCCCCTCCCCTGAGCCAAAACAAGGCAGCAGAGTAGATGCGAGAGAGTATGGCAGATTGAATGGGGCCTGTACAGATGTTATCACTACAGTCCTCAGCGGAGTCACACCTGGGAAGGGCGGGGAGGGGAGGCAGCCATTTTCTCCAGGGGAACTGATCTTGGTCATCAAGTGTAATAGCGGGAGATCTTCAGGTGCCACCTGGAGGTTGGCGATTTTGGTTACAACCTTGTAAGCCTATTGACTTCAAGGGACTTAGAAGGGTGCAATTCTGTTTAGGATTGTAATATATGTCACTGTAAACACAAAGTGCTTTGGACTCATATGTGTTGCAGTTTTTGTAGTGTTCAGAATGTTTGCCGCTGAATGTCTTAACCAAGGCCTGTCCCATACGTGCTGAAGAGTGAGGTGGTGGAATGTGTCCCTCCAGATTGCCAGTGGAGGATTCCCACTCTGAATATTCCTTTGCAGAAGAAATATCATGCATAGAGAGACCATCTGCCCCTTTTCTTTGTTTGCAGTGCTGGGTTTCTGTTTGTGGGGCGTTTTTAACCCAGCAGAGCATTCCAGAATGGGATCCTTCACCTTCAGTCAACTGGGATACAGAGTCATTCTACTGCCTCACATTGCTGTGTGTGTTAACCAGGCCTAATCAGGCCCAACACTGCTGAACTGAAGTGGGCATCAAAGCTAGGGGCTGATTGGACAATGCCTGTGACATCAACTGTGCTAGGCAAGGCAGGAGCAGGACACAGGGAGGTTTTCCCATTTAATGCCTCATTGTGGTGTTTTTTTTCTTCCTCCAAGCAAGCTTCCTTATGACATCATTGTCCATTTGGAGTCTCTGGGGTTTCCATGTTGGGGACTAGAGCTGCCAATCTGAGGTGCCTTGGGAGGACAGAGTTTGGGGAGGGAGCTGTGATGATCTAGAACCTGCCCTCTGAAGGCACCACATCCTCCAGGGCTTGGCAGAGAGGGATGAGCTGACCTATCAGATCACTCTTCAGTGCTGCTCAATAGTCAGCACATGGAAGACTCTGGTCACTTCAAAAATAGGTCTCTTTATTGCTTCCAACTGGGAGAGAACACTTACAGGCTGGGGATACTAAAACACCCATTGGAAGGCTGCAACACATATATGCACCCAGGGAACAAGGCCTAAGTGAGGCCCCTCCCATAGAGGCTTTCAGGGCTCACTTAAAAGTATAGACTCTTATTTAGATCATGTAGTTCAGTTATAACTGGAAGGACTCCAGGACCCACCTGGAGGATGGTAACCCTAATAGGAGCCCTCAGAAACAGGAGCTAGGGGGCATTTCAGGCTGTCGTGAGAAGCAGGAACTAAGGAAGTCACACTGCATGGAACCATAGAGTTGGAAGGGATCTCCAGGGTCCAACCCCCTGCACAATGCAGGAAATTCACAAATACCTCCCCCCCATGTCCTCCCCAGTGACCCCTGTTCCACACCCAGAAGATGACAAAAAAACCTCCAGGATCCCTGGCCAAACTGGCCAGGAGAAAAATTGCTTCCTGACCCCAGTGTGGCAATCAGCATTTCCCTGGGCGTGTAAGAAAGGCAGAAGTCCTTGAACCCATGAAAACACCGGACTGGATCCAACCCAATATGTGTGTGACATGAGTTATCTCGAGGGTTGCCAGGCTCCAGGTGACACCTGGAGATCTGCTGTTACAATTGATCTCCGGACGACCAAGATCGGTTCCCCTGGAGAAAACAGCTGCTGTGGAGGGGGAACTCTACGGCATTATATCCTGCTGGCGTCCCTCCCTTCCCTAAACCCTGCCCTCCCCAGCCTCCACCCCCGAAATCTCCAGGTATTTCCCCACCCAGGGCTGTCCCATAGCTATAAAAATTCCCTGAGGAACTGCTGACGCCCCGAGATAGGATGGCGCCTGGGATCTCAGATCTCCACCAGAACGAGCACTTCTGGTTCTTAAATAAGCTTGGTTTTTCTGACACTTGCAACATTTTCTATAGTTGTGCGAACATGTGGTTTGCTTCACATGAGAAGTTGGTATGAGCTGCTCAGGAGAGCTGATGATTGATTCAGAAACAGAAACTCGGCAATAGACAGTGAGTCTCCTATCACTTCCTCTGTGGAAAAGTTGAGTCTGTTGATGAACGCAGGGCTATTCTTGTCTTCCTTAAAAACAAACATCCCCCTCCCCTAAAACGAACAGAGAATTATTGGTAGTGACAGCCTCAGTGGTTCAGAGAAAAACAGAGCTCAGGCGAGTTCGCTCAACTTAGGAGCTCGACTTCCTAAAGGGGAAAGAATCTACCATTCAGAACTCAACCCTTCTTTCTTTTTGTCCTAATTTCAGTTTGGGTCAAATTCTTGTGAATGTGCAGATTCAAGACTTACTTTTGAGACCAGAATAGGGTGGCCACCAGGTTCCCCCCGGCCACCGGCAGGGGACGGGGTGGGGTGGGGGTAGAGTTGCCAGATCCAGGTTGGGGGATGGGGGATGGAGCTTGGAAGGGCAGGGATCTCAGTGGGGCACAGTGCCATGGAATCCACCTTCCGCAAGCATCCATTTTCTCCAGGGGGACAGATTTCTGCAGTCTGGAAATGAGCTGTAATGCCGTCCTTCTCCAGGTCTCCCCTGGAGGTTGGTAGCCTTAGATGTTCCTCTGCAAAAGTCTGAAGGAATTGGATTTCTTCTTCTTTCTTCTTCTTCTCCTTCCTCCTCCTCCTCCTCCTTCTCCTTCCTCCTTCTTCTCCTTCCTTCTTCTTCTCCCTCTTCTTCTTCTCCCTCTCCTTCTTCTCCTTCTCCTTCTCCTTCTTCCCAGAACTCTCAAGAGGGAAATGACGTTTTCAATCTGTACACTGAAAACTCATGAACGTCTAACATTTTTTAAAATAATGCTGTCAAAGAGGTTCTGGAACTCCGCTCTGGTGTGTTTCCCCCAGAAAAAAAACAGACCCTGCTAAATGTGACCGGTAGCAAGGTGCAGAGCCCTCGCCAAGGGCATTGTGTGACCGAGAAACACAAGCCGGGCTTTCTTCCTCCTGGTTTAGCAAGCGACCTCGATGAGAAAAGGAGAACTGTGTGCTGTCAGCTGCGGTCAGCCATCTCGGCCGATCTCGACCGCAGTGTCTGCAGCTGACGCGGCGGAGGCGTTTCGAGCAGAGAGGAAGCTCCGCGCCAGTCCTCCGTTCCCACGCCCGCGGCTGCTTTCTCCAGCATTCTTCTTCTCCTTCTCCTCACCGCATTACCGAAGGTGCGCCTCTATAGCTTCTCATTCCAGGCTTTATTGCTCGACTGATCGAGATGGGGAGCCGTGTTAGTCTGTCTGTAGCAGCAGAAAAGAGCAAGGAGGCAGTACGTGTGTTAAACTGAACGGAGGGACAGTTTTTATTTATCTACGTAAATAATTATTCCCTACTGAGGGCCCAAAGTGCCTCACAGCATTGTTCTCCACTCCTCCATTTATCTTCACAACAACCTTGTGAGGCAGTCTGATTGGAGCTAGTGAGAGTATGACTAGCCCAAGGACGCCCAGCAAGCTTACGTGGCAGAGCAAGCATTTGAACCCAAGTCTCCCAAAACCTAGTCTGACGCTCAAATCACTACACCTCTCTAAATAACAGGATAAATACATGAACTGCTCACACTGTGACAAGCTGGGCTGCCTGTAAATTTAGAAGAGAAGAGAAGAAGAGATTGGATTTATACCCCGCCCTTCACTACCCAAAGGTGTCTCAGAGCGGCTTACAAACGCCTTTCCCTTCCCCTCCCCACAACAGACACCCTGTGAGACAGGTGGGGCTGAGAGAGCTCTTGACAGAAACTGCTCTTTTTCAAGAACAGCTCTTATCAGAACTACGGCTTGCCCAAAGTCATCCAGCCAGGTGCAAGCGGAGGAGTGGGGAATCAAACCCGGTTCTCCCAGATTAGAGTCTGCACACTGAACCACTACACCAAACTGGCACCAAACTTATTTTATAGAGAGCCAGCATGGTGTAGTAGGTAACAGTGATGGACTTTAATCTGGAGAACTGGGTTCCATTCTGCACGCCTCCACATGAAGCCAGCTGGGTGACCTTGGGTCAGTCACAGCTCTTTTAGCGCTCTCTCAACCCCAAAATAAGTCTAGCTTGCCACCTAGGAGCGCATAATGCTAAAAGAGCTAGAACATCAGGCTGCCAGACAATTTTAGGATCTCCTGGCTATACTTAACACAATGCCATACAATAATTGTTAATTATTATTATTCTATAGATTCTATCGGTGGCATCTGGCTATCTATGTGGTATGACCCAAAATGGAGTCTTGGAAGAATAAGGGTTAGAGCTTACCAGTTGTTCTGCTGGCTAAAGAGGGAGGAAATGCCCCCCCCCCCCCAGGGCTATGCCAGGGATCATCAGACCTTTGTGGATAAAGCTGTACAATATGGGGGACTGGGCACTGAGAAGAGGGGAACTGGGCAAGACCAAGTAAAATTGCTCTTAGGATCCAACCCCAACAGATTGATTGAAGCATAAACTAGAGCCCAGGTAGTCAGATGCATGAAGTGGGTAGATTAGCTGTCAGCAGACAGCTATTCACATAAAAATGATGCTCTAGCATCCCCAGGTTTTTGGGTTGGTTTTTTTGTTGTTGGTGGTGGTGATTTGCTGCAGCAGACTAACACAGCCTTCCCACTGACGTTGTTAATTATGTGAAGAGGTGAATTTTATTACATTCTGTATGGCCGAGGGATAGGAGAATGTGTCCACACTAGGAGAAGTGACTCTAGGCATCTGGTCGCTGGAGCTGCTATGGGAGGGAACACATCTTTCGGTTATGTTTACCTGGAAGAGGTCAGATTGTTTGAAGAGCCTCGAGGGCTGATCATGTGGCAAATACAGCACCAGTTTCCTCAAGCCTGAAAACCCCGGAGTTAATAGATGTGTGTGTGGGGGGGGGAATCTGGTCCTGGGAGCTCTCAGGTGTGAGGTTTTCCCCCTGGGGAGTGGTAGAGAAACCCAGCCCCCTAGATTAGAGGGGATTGGAGCAGGATAGGCAGCATGGGTCTGGCCTGAATGGATCAGGTCTACCCACTCTCAGTAGATCTCAGAAGGTAACCTGGGTCAGCCTGGTCAGTACAGTACTTGAATGGGAGCAGGCCCCTAACCAGGATTCTTTGGCTTGTGGGGCAATTTTTTTTCTGGTGGGGTTGAAGTTCTCAGTGCAGAAAGAAAAGCCATTTAGCCAATAGAAAGCTGCTACCAGGATACAGCTCTGAATTGCAAGCTGTCAATCACTTTAGATGATGACAGTTCTCAGCTGCTGCAAGTTAATCACTTCTGCCAGCCTAAGCAACAATTCTGATAATAAGCCGGCAGGTGGGAGGTGAGGACTTCTATAGTCAAGAAAGCTAACACTTAGGCAGAAAAGACTCTCTTAAAGGAGACCAGTTTCTTGACACAGAGTTAGAAGGGATCCTAGAGGTCACCTACTCCAACCTCCTTGCTCAGTGCAGGAATTAGTCAACTACGGCACCCCACTCTACTTAAAGTAGTGCACACCTTTTAAAAATGTTTTTAAATGATTGAGAAAAGCATTTACAGGAGAAATTCTTGTGGGGCTGTGCCTTTAGGGAAGGGGGTGGCACCCCCCAAAAGCCCCACTGTAGCTACAGGCCTGGATGGGAGACCACCAAGGGAGTCCAAGGCTGCTACAGAGAAGCAGGCAATAGCAAACCACCTCTGTCGGTCTGGTGCCTTGAAAACCCTGTGGGGTGGCCGTAAATCAGCTGCTGCTTGATGGCACTTTCCACCATGGCAGGCACCATGGCTGGTGGAGAAAAGCAGCATTCAATATAACCTGCTACATACTATAAGCAGTTCTGTTCAGCCAGTGGACTGGCACCCTCATCTGTTTGTGAACCTCTATGGAGCCCCCAATCTTTTGGCTGATTTTTCTTTTGGAGTGACCTGCCGCTGTTGCTTCCTGCTTCTAGGAGAGTGAGGTGGGGTTCACTAATCTATGGAGGTGGGGGATCCTCTCCTTCATATGGTCCCTCACTCTGGCACCACCATCCCCTGATGCTCAGGTTGCCTTCTTGGCGCCACGGTTCTCTTGGTCTGCAGTTCACTGTCTGGCTTTGACACTGATGAAGTCGTGGCTATGGCTGGGCTGGGCCGCCCTCTCTCTTCCTGCCATACGATTCCGATATTATATGATTTCCTGTCACATGATTGCAACTTAATGGGCACCCTGCTGCCTGGGTTGGAGGGTGAAGGTTAAACATAGGTCCTGGGTCTGGAAACATTGAAGACAGCCGTCCTGTAGGATTGGGGATTAGCTACAACCTGGAGATGTCTACGAAGTACATCAGAAGCCCACCAGACTTTGAGGGATCCCCCCCCCGGGGGGGGGTGACGTGGACTCAGAGTATTGAACTACAGAGTCCTCCAGGTTCCTTGCCCTTCTCCTGGGGAGCGCTTCCCTTCCTGTCCTTTATAACCTGTCATCTGTCCTTAACCTATCAATGTCCTGGTGGATTATTTAGGACACAGAAGAAGACCCATTTCTTCACTCCTTACTACTGTTCGTTGTTTCTGCTTCCCCACCCTTCCATGCCTTTCCATCCCACCTTCGGCTGCAATGCCCTTGTGCTCGGGTTTTGGAAGACTGTCAGGAAAAAAGAAATACTTCAAGTGAGAGGTGTGCTGATCCAGCAAGGGAGATCCACTTGCCAAAGCAAATCAACGTGTGCCTGCACCTCTAAGCTGAGTTAGTGTGAGCTAGCTCACAGTTTTTTTAGCCTCCAGCTCACACATTTTTGTCTTGGCTCAGGAAGGATGGAGTTCCAGAGCAAACTAATTTCTGCAGCAGCCAAATCGCTCGCTCACAACTTCAATGCCAGTCGCTCACAAAAGTAGAATTTTTGCTCGCAAGACTCCACAGCTTAGAGGGAGCATTGGTGCCTACATTGTTATGCTTATCTGCCCCCCCCCCCCAATTATTGAGCTGTGATTCTTGGTGCACGCTCCCCTCTGGAGCTAGTGGTTAATTGGGTGTGTAGCTCTGCACATCTATACCTACATCCATTCCCCAGGCCCCCACCAGCCTTAATCTGTCCCTGTTGCTGATTAATAGATAATACACAGAATTTTTTCCCCCATGCAAGCAACCTTTAAAAAAGTAAAGGTTTCCTTTGCTCGAAAGCCAGTCTAGGCTCATCTCCGTTTCCAAGCCGAAGAGTCAGCGCTGTCCAAAGACGTTTCCATGGTCATGTGGCCGGCAGACTAGACGCCGAGGCACGTGGAATGCTGTTACCTTCCCACCGAAGCGGTACCTATTTATCTACTTGGTTTCTTGCTTTCGAACTGCTAGGTTGGCAGGAGCTGGGACCAGAGATGGGAGCTCACTCCATCATGCAGCACTCGGGTCTTGAACTGCTTTAAAAAGCAGAATGATAAATGCCTTCTTTGGGGAATCCTCTGGGAAACAGACTAGATTTTCTTTCGCCCAGGCACACCTTTCATCTTTCCCCTCTAATTCCTCACTTAGGATCAAAGCACACAGCTGGCCAGAACAGGGACTCTAGCCAGGAGAGGAACCAAAACATCTGCAGGACAGTCTCCCGGAAGCCTCAGGTGAGGATGCATCATCTAGAGGCAACAGAGCCTCGTTTTGCACGGTGGCCCAGTCAGTTGCTCCACCAAGAGCCCAGCTACGAGGGACATGAGTCGGGTTAGGTCTGCCCCAACTTGTCTCACAATCACATGGACATGAGGGAGACTCCCCTCAGAGACCCATGGAAACTGCTACAGGGGGCCTTGTTTGTGTCCTAAGTCACAGAGTCACAGGACAAGTGGAGGCCAAGAACGGGGCAAACAGAGCCCATCCCTGACAGCTGTTTCCGCTGGCAAAAATGGTGTGGGAAGGAAGCATGAAGCCCCTCCCTCCCACAGTGCTCAGCGCTGCATCGAGCAACGAGCAACGGGGCACTTTCTAAGCTGAGTCTCTCCATGTATTTGTGGCTGTAAGTCCAGTGTGGAGGGGGAGGAGCACAGACTCAACTCGAGTCACTTGTATCGTTCAGCTCGGACCAAAAAATGTGCTGTATTGTTTCTCCCACAAGACGGGAAGAAAACAAAACCCCTTTCAATTGGAGATGCAGTGTGCATTTGATCAATGGGTTAGCATAATCAATGACAAAGGTTTGGATCAATTAAAAAAAATCTGCCACTATTTTTTTGGGTTTTAAACATTGCCTGATTTAATCATTTTTGCCTTGAAACGGGCATTCCTCTTCTAAGGAGGTGCCCACTGAAACAGATATAGGGTTGGATCCAGCAGTCTTTTCTGCTGGTGAAAAAGGAGGGGGTCTCTCTCCTTTGACCACTTAAAAAGGCTAAGCTGGGTATTATGAGACCTGCATGGTCAAAAGCCATATGGGATGCGGGTTGTAATAAGGAGGGGCATTGGCTACTATTGTGTAGTGTATCTAGCCTGACATGTCCGGAGTGGAAACAGCTGCCTGGATCCAACCCTTATATATCATCTAAAAACAAGGTTTGCTTTCCCCCTTGCCTTTAAAACTGAATGTTCTACATACACCAATTTATTCAGATTTAATTGTGTACATACACATCATCTAAGGATGCAGTCCTATGTACACCTACATGGGAGTCAATTCCACTGAAGACAGTGAGATTTAGATTATGAATCCCATTAAAACTGGGGGGGGGGGTTGTGACAGGAGAGAATGCTGTGAAGTGGATAAAATCAACAAAATGTCAAAGCATTGGGCTGCACAATTTCTTAAAAATCAGGGCCCTGCTTTCAGTCCTATCTGCTAACTGCATGTGCCCAAAGACCCCATAAACGTGTGCTTAGAGGACTTCTAATGATGGAGGTGGGAAAGGGTCAAGATTCTGCTGGGCCGGTTCCTCGGTCTGAGTCTCCCAGTTACTTTGTAAACAGGAGTCTTATCTCTCCTTATGTATAAAGCTGTTTTGGTCATGGACTCTCTCCAGAACATTTGATACACTCCTGAATCAGTTGGCCCTCTTATGTGTCACTCACATGGGGCTCCATCCATTGGTGGTTGCGTTGCCCGCGTTGGCTGAGTCCTGCTCACAGAATCAGCACACGGCAAACCTCAACTCAGACGAGAACTTCCCTTCAGGAGAGAGCATGCGTCACTCGGCCGGGGCCCTGACTTCTAGCCTCCTCCTCCCCTGGCGGCTTTTTGCACCTCCGCGCCACTCAGGACTGCCTTGAGTGGCTGCTTCTCCGACCTGCACAGCCTCTGCCGCTCCTGGGGGTGGGCCCGTCCCTGGCTGCCCTCTTCCCACTGCTGCCCCATTGCCGTACGATGGCGTTGCGGGTCGCACTTGGCTTTTTTGCCCGCTGCTTCCCCTGCTCCGCGGCTGGCGACCTCTCTGCCGCCTCGCCCGGCCTCACACTCCTCCGTGCCTCAGTGGCTCCAGGTGGTTGAGGGGCCGCGGGGTGTGTCTGCTGATGGTGGGGGGTGCAGTTGGCATTCTGTCCCACCGGCGGCTGTCTGCGAGTCCCGGTGGGGACCAGGACATGGCCACGTCACTATTAGCAACTCAGGTTATTCCCACTTGCTGGCCAGAAGAGAAGAGATTGGATTTATGCCCTGTCCTTCACTACCCAAATGAGTCTCAGAGTGGCTTACAAATTCCTTTCCCTTCCCCTCCCCACAACAGAGGTAGATAATCCACTTCATAGATTATCTGGAATAAAATTTTGTCAGTCTTTCAGGTACCACCAGAGGCCTTTTTAAGCCAATGTTTTATGGTGAGCAGAAAACATTAAAGTAGATCTAAGATTTAAAGGTCAAATCCCATCTTTAGCCCTGACCTGGATAGCCCAGACCAGTCCTGGTGGTGCTTGAATGGGAGACCACCAAGGATATCTACTCTCTCCAGTACCAGAGGTAGCATGCCTCTTTAAATCAGTTGCTAGGGGGAACAGGCAGGATGATGCTGTTGGAGTCTTCCTGTTCATGGCAGTGTCTGGGGCAGTGATGCTCTGTACTCTTGGTGCTTGGGGGGGGGGGGCAACAGTGGGAGGGCTTCTGGAGTTCTGGCCCTACTGGTGGACCCCCTGATGGCACCTGGGTTTTGGCCATGTTGTGTCACAGAGTGTTGGACTGGGTGGGTCATTGGCCTGATCCAACATGGCTTCTCTCACGTTCTTATGACTTCCTAAAGGTAGCTGTTTGGCTGCTGTGTGTGCAGAATGCTGGACTAGATGAGCCTTTGGTTTGATTTAGCATGACTCTTCTTGCATTTTTAAGTCCAGAGTTGCTATGCTATGCAGAGGCAGGGAATGGCAAAGCACCTCAGGGTTATAATTTATAATCCATGTCTTTTCGGTTTAGGAGAAGCCACCGGACCCTGGAGCCGATACAGTCCCCTGTTGTCCCAGATGCCAAAGTGCCACCAGCTTCACCGGAGTCCTCCCTGAGGTACCATATCTGGGAAGACAACATTAAAGAGAATGGAATTGCGGAAGGAAAAGTAGATTTGAAGGGAAATTCTTCAATGCTTAATCTTCACAGAACTAATCATTAATAATAATTATCGTATGGCAGTGTGTGTAGCATAGCCAGGAGATCCTAAGATTGTCTGGCAGCCAGAAGTTCTAGCTCTTTTAGTGTTATGCACCACTAAGTGGTGAGCTAGACTTGTTTTTAAGGCAAGAGACATTTCAGAGGTGGTTTGCCATTGCCTTGGAGCTGCGGTGGCTCAAGTGGTTAAGACGCTGAACTGCAGGCTGTGGAAGGTTGGTAGTTCAGCAGTTCGAGACCTGAGTTGCCGCATGACGGAGTGAGCTCCTGTCTCTAGTTCCAGCTCCTGCCAACCTAGCAGGTCGAAAGCAAGAAATTGCAAGTAGATAAATAGGTACCACTTCAGTGGGAAGGTAACAGTGTTCCGTGCGTCTTGGTGTTTAGTCATGCCGGCGTTCTGTGCGTCTTGGTCACATGACCACGGAAACGTCTTCAGACAGCGCTGGCTCTTCAGCTTCGAAACGGAGATGAGTACCGCAACCCTAGAGTCGGATTTCACTGGCTTTCGAGCAAGGGAATTTTTACCTTTGCCTGCCTCTGCGTCACCACCTTAGTATGCCTTGGAGGTCGCCCTTCCAAATACTAGCCAGGGCTGACCCTGCTTAGCTTCCGAGATCTGATAGGATCAGGCTAGCCTGGGCTATCCAGGTCAGGGCTTTTACAGAACTGGTTGCTCTGGACTGAAATAGTCTAAAACTCTGTCTTGGGGCCAGGGTAGCTTTGGAGCATGCTTGAGACAGAATCAACATTGCAAACTTTTTTTCTGTGAGAAGTAGGAAGCACTCTGTGTATGAAACTGTAATGTTGCTAGATGGGGGGGGGGGAGAACCCATATCACAACAGAAGGAACAAAATACTTGCAATAGTGCAAAGAACTACTCAATCCCACCCTTACTTCTCTGGAACGATACCCAGACATGTACATCACAGTCTTTCCATTGTACAGCTGGGGACAGGTATCCTATTTGAGGCTGGAGAAAATTTCTTGAGGCTACGGGGCCTCCCTCCAGTTAAGCACCTCTTGATGCTGGAGAACAGCTCCTTTGGGCTGGAGGAACTTCCTCCCTTAATGTGAGGATCCACACACCCCTCTTCCACCCGCACAGTGGGGGATGATAGAGGCATACAGACCCGAGTCTTATCAAGGAAATCTTCAAACTTTGTTAAATAAAAAATAAATAAAAATAAAAAATATTAA